ATATTTGTCCTGGACAAAGTGTCTGCAACAATATTGGAATTTCCCTTAATGTATCTCACATCGGATGTAAACAGGTTGGTCCATTTAACGTGAGACAAGCGATTATCTCGAAAACGGTTTTACATTAAAAAAAAATTCTTTACATCTTAAAAGGTTTTCTTGGCTACTATTTCTGCATGCAGTCGGTACTTCGCGATAAACATTATCCTTAAGGATGCCCCACAAAAGAAAATCAAGAGGTGTTAAATCAGGTGATCTGGCAGCAGAGGCGTAACTAGGGTATGGCAGGCATGGCACGTGCCATGGGCGCCAACTGAAGGAGGGCGCGAAAAAGCGCCTAATGTATAAATACGCAAATGAAAATAAAAAAATATTTTTATAGATATAAATATGTGTATTAAAAAACTGCGTAGGAAAAAGCACGCATTCGTTTGTTTGTTCATGTTCTCTATGCCACTAGCTCTCTTTCTCTGTACAAATGTGATTTTGTATTTGAAAAAAAGAAATGCAGAATAGTAGCGTGTGTTGTGTTCTGTCCTAAAGCCGTTCGGAATACGGGGAATCCCTGTCGCGTAGCACGTGCATCGGTATTCTATCGTAGGTACGATAAACGAGAATCGGTCTCTTTGCAGTCTGTTGCTCAATTTAAAATTCGTTCGCATTTGATTTTCGTTTATACATAGTTGATAGTTTTTCGATCCTGAATAATATCTAAATGGCCAGTATTTTTTTATAAATCTAAGAGATATTAAGGTAAATATATATTTTTATATTTTTTTAAGTAGTTAAAATTGGTTTTAAATTCTACTTCTTGAAGAATATCATATATTTATAAAATTATATTTCGTTATTTTTTAGAAATGACTGTTAATCAGTGTTCGTATTTAAAACAATATTATTTTCCGCAAATTGCAAATTATAAATAATTGTTTTCTTTTTTTATACCTTAGAAAATAGTACCTCAGAATTGAGAACTATGAAACGTTCATTTGAGAATAAGAAAGAAAGTGGAGCTGCAGGTCGAAAAAGACGCTAGTTAGAGGCAAAAGAAGTAGAAAAAAGCAGCAACATTTTTAATACGTTTTTTGAAAAATCAAGCACAAACACAATTTCTTCAGAATGTCTTGAAAATTCTGCAAATTTTAAAGAATTGAAAGATGCTGGGCCAAGTTCAACCGAGAAAGAATTTGATACGACATCTAATGATGCAGAAAAGGTAACTGAAAATATTTTGACAAGGCCTTCAGAGAATTCTAATTCTAGAAAGTATGCTACTTCTGAAAAATTAGAAGATTTTGAAGGGTTTGACAAAGAAATAGATATTGATGACGTTGAAGTAAATAAAAACTTGATGTCCAAAGACGCAGAAAATTAAAAAATCCCATACTTAGAGCGATTGAAGAACACAACATCGGTCTTCTTAAGTTTAGTGAAGAATCGGGAAAGGCAATTGTAACTGATGCGTTGAGAATAGAAATGATAAATCTCGGTTCTAAGTATTTTCAAAACAGCGAGGGTCCTTTTTTGCCCACTAACAATCGTTCTATGAACAAAACTTGGTTAAAAAAAAATTAGGAAATGGTCTTGGTGAGCAAGTGATGCGTTCATGGTTAGTTTATTCACCTTCCAAAAAGTCTGCCTTTTGTATTTGCCGTCTTCTTTTTTCCTGGTTCGATAACCAATCTAGTTTGGAGCAAGAAAGCGGATTTAAGCAATTGAAAGCACTTGAGAGAATGAGTGTTCATGAAAATTCCAAAAATCATCGACAATGCTTTACTCAGTGGAAAGAAATGGAAAGAAATTTACTTAACAACAGAGGCATAATTGATGCAGAAATTCAAGATCAAATTCAAAGAGAAAGTCAGAAGTGGTGTGATATTTTGAAAAGACTTTTACACTGCATCAAATACCTTGGGATACAAAACCTGGCTTTGCGAGGCCACAGAGAGACACTTCAGTCAGATTTTAATACAGGAAATTTACTTGGTTTGTTGAAACTAATTTCTAATTTTGACCCTGTCGTAAAAGAACACATAAAATTTGCGGAGAGCTATCCTGGATCCACTTCATATCTTTCACCGAAAATACAGAACGAGTTTATTCACATCATGGCACGTTTTTCCCAATATGCGTATAGCATTGCAAATATTGCTGACAATCGCGGTTTCTATTGTCACTTGCGAAAGATCATTTAGCAAATTAAAATTGATACTTTCATATTTGAGAGCCTCGATGGGCCAAAGTCGATTATGTGATCTTGCTTTACTTAGCATAAAACGAGAAATGACCGGAGAAAGTGACTGTGATAATATAATTAAACAATTTGCGTCAGCTAAAGCAAGATGGATCTTGATTTTGAGTCGATGGCAAACTTTTTTGCAGAGCCTCCCCTGATCATCGATGACGTAATTAAGGCGGCTACAATTAATGAAATTCTTACCTCTCTTAAATCATGCTCCTTCTCTCTTACGCTTGTGACCGCGACAGAAGTAGGTGATGCTTTGACTTATTCGCTTGCGTGGGTTCTGATGGTACAACCTTCTTTTTCCTATCCTGGTTGTAGTGCTTCCTCCCTTAATTCATATCTACAACTTTTCTTTTGAGCGGTCTTTATTTCCCTCTGTCTGGAAGGTTGCTCATGTCGTTCCCATACCCAAATCCAAGTCCTCTTTATGTAACACTGATTTCCGTCCGATTTCAATTTTATTCGTACTATCAAAAGCTTTTGAACGCTTAGTTTATTTACAGGTTCAAGGATTTTTAGAGAGGTTTAATTTACACAATGAGTTGCAATCGGGTTTTCTGATACTGGTTTAAATACTGCCCTCATTAAAGTTACTAATGATATTAGATATGCCTGCGACAACAGATAGTGCTAGTACTGCTCGATTTCAGCAAGGCTTTTAATTCTGTCGACCACAGCCTTTTTTTGGCGTCTCTTTCTACCTACGGATTCAATCCCTCCTGTGTTTCTTGGTTTCAATCTTACCTTTCCCATCGCGTCTTGTGCGTACGCGCTAACTCTTCAATATCTTCTGCTTGTGCAATCAAATGTGGTGTTCCTCAGGGCAGTGTACTGGGTCCGTTACTTTTTTCTTTGTTCGTTAATAGTGTAACTAATTATATCTCGTGTAATTATCATTTGTTACTATTGTGCGACTTAATAGCGATCTATCTAGGGTCTTGAACTGGTCTCGGAGATACGGATTTAAGTTGAACTCAGTTAAAACGCAAGCTATTGTGTTTGGAACTCGTCAATTACTTGTAAGATTAATCCATCTACCTGCAGTGATCTGATGCTGGATGGAAATGTCATACGGTTTTCTGACACAGTTAAAAATCTTGGAGTCCTTATGGATTCTTGGAAACCGCAAATTCAACATGTTTGCAGAAAAGTTTATACTTGCTTCCACTCTTTAAAAAGACTTCGCTTCTCTCTTCCTCCGGTGGTCCGTCGTAACCTTTGCTACTCAATTATATTTCCTCACTTCGACTGTGCGGACGCGGTTTATCCCGATCTCTCGGCGACTCTTCTGAGTAAATTATAGCGGATACAAAATAATTGCACCCGGTTCGTATTTCACCTAAATAGATTTGAGTATATAACGCCGTATCACAATTACATTCAGATGTTAACCTGTAAGGGACGTAGATCCTTTCATTTATTAACCATTTTATTTAAAATCCTTCATAACTGCACCCCAAAGTACTTATCAGATAGGTTCCAGCAATTATCAACTCATGAGCTTGCTATTTGTTCACGTTCTGATACTATTCTTACATTTCCTGTTCATAGCATTGAAATTTATCACAGATCATTTACAGTACAGTCGATTACGCTGTGGAATGGACTGCCTTCTGAAATTCGTAATATGTCTAACATTGCTAATTTTAGACATGTTTTAAAGAGCCACTTGCTTGCCCTTCAACTGGCTGTTTCCTGATTCTTTGTTCTTTGTCTTTCTCTTTTTTCCTCTCTTCATCTGCTCTCACTTGTTGGCAACTGATATCCGGCAGATTCTTTTGGTCTCTTTTAGCCGCTCTCTCTCTCTTTTCGTGTCTTTTCTTTGTTTTTCTTTTTTCTTGCTTAATTTTATTTGGTGATAAATGTTAATAATATCTAATTATCACTACTTGCCATATTCAGTAAATACTATTTTTGTTTGTTCTGTTTGGTTCATTTGGCAAAGATCGCTTGTACGATAAAATGGTCCATTTGCTGATACTGCTCATACTGCTTATACTATTTAAGTTTAAGTTTATCCATTGCTCGACTAACAATCGACAATGGGATTTTATGTGTATATTTTTGTTCTTTTCTCAGAGAGTAGAGGAATAAACACACCTGACCTCCAGAAGCAAATTGATAGTTACTTTATGAGACCAAAGTCGCACTCGTTCACTGCAGGGGACTTAAACAAGCAAAACACAAAAGCAGAGACAGCAACGAAAAACACACAAAATGACAATATCTAGCAATTAAACTATAATACCAATCTACACTCAAATATAACGACCATGGCAAAAATAAGAAAATCGAAAATGGAAACATACTACCCTGCAACCTGGCTAAACACACAGAATAAAAGATGCAAAAGATAAATAGACATCATAATAAAAAAATATTTGAAATACTGACCTATAACTGTAGAACTTTGAGAGAAGATGAGAAATTAGAGGAATTGCTGGAAGAACTAAAAAACACAAATTGGCATATAATAGGATTGAGTGAGGTCAGAAGAAAAGGAGAGCGGTGTATAAATGTAAAGGAAACAATATTTTACTATAACGAATTAGGAAAGACAGGTGGAACCGGATTTTTAATAAATAAAAGATGTATAGATAATATTACCTCCTTTAAAACATATTCACACAGAATTGCGAAGATTATATTAAACCTCGAAAATAAAGAAGCCGGGAGAATACAAATCATACAAGTATATGCACCAATCTCTACCGCAAATGAGGAAGAAAGAGACGAGTTTTATGAGAACCTACAGATGGCAATTGATGATGATAAATGTAAATATACCATGGTCATGGGAGACTTTAATGCAAAGGTTGGTAAAAGAAAGGGCGAATCATGTATTGATAATTGCGGCATTGGGAATAGAAATGAAAATGGAGAAAAGTTGGTGGAATTTGTAGAGGGAAATAAATTTTACATAATGAATACATTTTATAATAAAGCTAATGATAAGAAATGGACGTGGATTAGCCCGGATGGACAAACAAAGAACGAAATTGATTTTTTCATAGTAGACAAGGGAGAAATCATACAAAACGTAGAAATTGAACAGAAAATAGATATCGGTAGTGATCACAGAGCGATAAAGATGACAGTACAGATAATCAAGAAACGACAGATACCGTGCGTAAAGAAAATGATAAGTTACAAATCTACTGATGAATTGAAAAGAGAAAACTTTGAAGACCGAATAAAATGCGAATTACGTTTGGAGGAAATTCTAGCTAACCCTAACATAGAAAACCAAAACCATATAATAACTAAGGCAATAACAAAGGTTACAAAGGATATTCAAAAAGATACAAAAAAAGAAAAACAGAGGTCAAATTTACCATGCAATATACGTAAACTATTAAATAAAAGAAAAACAATAAAGAGATCAGGAAGAGAAAAGATTGAATACACAGAAATATCAAAATTAATAAGGAAACAATGGAAAGAATGGTCATATAACAAAAAGATAATAGAATTAGAAGATGCAATTACTACGGGAGGAAGTATAAGAAAAAGTGTGAGACAACAATCACTGGGACAAAGCAAAATAATAGTAATGAAAGATAAAAACGGTATGAGCAAAGGGGAAGATGCAGAAATATTAACATAATGGAGGCTGAAGAGAGAGAGAATGAACAGATACAATACGAAATAATGACAGAAGAAGTAAGTGATGTAATATCAAAGCTGAAGGAAGGAAAAATTGGAGGTATAGATCAGATAAGAAATGAAGAAATAAAGGCAGGAGGAAACCATATAGTGAAAATATTGAAGGAAATTTGTAATAACTGTTTGAAACAAAAAGCTGGCTCGTAGCTAAACTTGCCTTAATATACAAAAAAGGCGATAGGGAACATATCAACAATTACGGACCAATAAGTTTACTCCCGGTGATGTATAAAATATTTATGTCCATAATCACAAGGAGAATAGAGCAACACCTACCGT